CCGCTGGGCGTTTCTGAAACCAAGCGGGCAGGCTGGACTGGGCAGTGACCACCCGGACCTGCGGCAGTCCCGAGGAGGTGGTGTGACTTACCACCCGCGTGGGAGGTGGCTGCGGCCCCGGCTGGGTCTGTGAACTCTGGGCTGTGGAAAGCAACGTCCCGAGCTGCGGCATGGTAGGGGATGATACCAGAAGAACGCTACGGAAAAGATAAAAGCCAGTAGGTCAGCAAAAATGTAGGAAATGACTGAGAAACAACCAGGAACATTCAGAAGCAACACACGAGACGCAAGAAGTACCTTTGGCTGGGTTTTGCTGGCTCCGACCCAGCGCTCGATACGCTCTTGCTAACCACAGACACCGGTGGGGGTGAAATAGGCGTTGCTGGTAATGCCGGTGCCGTTGGCGTCACAGGAGTCACGGGAGTTGGCGGCATGCTGGAGTCACTCAGGCTCAGCTGACTGGGCTCTGACGTGCTGCTGGGGAGTGCTTTCACAGAGCTCTCCTTGCTACTAGACTTCTGCAAAGAAACCACGTCAAGCATGAAGGGCTCCACAAAACCTGGGTTTGATTGCTGCACTCGAGAGAGCGGGCTGAGCGCTCTACGCCGAGTTCCGTACGGTTATGAACGACACCCCGGTGCTAAATCCTGAAATCCCTAACTGTCTGCCTTCCTCAACTGCGGCCACAGGTGGGCCGGTGCATTCGGCTGCTCCTGTTCACAGGGAAAAGTCCATCTCGGCTGTGACAAACGTTCGTAACGTGCAGATTTCCACCTTGCTTAAGCTGCCAACAGCAGCTACGTTAGAGATATCTGATATCAATTAACTACAGCAAAAAAGACATCCAAACCCTGACAGCTTCAGCACGGCAAGGGGCAGAGCAGCAGACATGTTCCACACGCTCCTGCTACAGACCAACCTCAAAACTAGATCTGAAAGACCATCCCTAAGATAGGGAGCACAAATGAACGCCATTAACCTTTCTGCTGAGATCAACAAGCGGAAGCTGGGAGGAGCAAAAACCCCCTCTTTCTCTCTTCATTTTGTGCACTGCTGCTAGACCAACACTCAGATTCACACATAATGAACTGACACCTCAAGTACGTGGTGATTTTCCTCAGCCACTAAGCAGCATTTATGGATTAAGTTAAGCCCGCATCTCCTTCCCAATCCCAAAAGCATCGGTGCAAACGTGTGCAAAGAAATTTACCATTTTAGCCGGAGGTTTTGGCTTCTGCTGAAGAGCTTTCTTGGCCTTCGCTGCAGCAGCTTGAGCTTGGTGAATCCGCTCTGCAAATACAAGTTAATGGTCAGAGCTCCTGAACACAAGCGAACTGATTTAAGAGGCCAACTCAGAGCTCCAAGTTCATCTTCAGACACGAAACCAAACACACAGAGTCACGGAACAGAAAGATCAATGAGAAACGAATCCGAAAGAATTGAAAGAAAAGAAATGCCACGCAAAATTAGCCAAAGAGGCTGAAACCAAGACAGAAAAGAAGTTGTGAATGTACGTACGCACGCCTGCAGCCCTTGTACTCGGGATGCTATTGTTCAAACAAATACTTCAAACTGACACGCTGCTCTGCAAGACTGGATTCAAGTGCTGATGGGTTAACACCAGCCAACTGATTAGAGGAAAAAGCTAGGCTGACTAATGTTCATTATCCAGCTGGACTGAAGAAGCTCAAGAGATTTATAAATGTTTTCAGTTCTTAAGATACCGTCAAGCCAGGCTTACCAAACTCTTCCTCGCTCCTGTCCCGGTGCAGGTAGATCCACAACTTGCGTCCAATATCGTATTTCACACAGGGATCTTTCTCATAGTGTAATCGATCCAGAGCACCGCTAACAACAGTGTTAACCTGCAAGTTCAGAATTCATGGAATTACGAGATGCCCCTGGTTCAGCTAGCCGAAGGTCACGAATAGAAAAGTAATCCTATTTGGCACAAAACCCGAGTAAGCTGCCAGCCACCTACATTTCAGTCAGAACTGGCTGCGAGCAGATGCTGCAGCACAGGACGCTGTTTGCCACCTTAGATTACATGGAGCTTCCACCAAAGCTGAAAGCTCTGAAAACTGACTCTTTCTGAATCTAAACTGTGAGCAGCTACGTGGCACGGTGTTCATTCTGTGGCTTTTCTAGCTGGTTTTTCACCATCCAGAGTTCGGAGGAGATTTGCAGCAGCTCACCGGAGCAGAACACAGCTCTCGTTTGCAGCGTAAAAAATGATTTGGCCTCAGCTGCTGAATACTCCCGGGTGTGTGCAGGTTATTTTTAGGAGAATCTGTCCGAAGCTAGACATGACATCCAACTTACTTGAGCACTTGTGACATCGGGAGCGAGGAACTGGGAATCTTTAAGCAGCTCACAGATTTCAGCACGCGTTCCTTCTCCGTTAGGAAGGCGAGCAGCAGCATCACGAACTGAAACACAAAACCAGAGCTAAACTTCCAGCTGTGACGAGGCAGCCGTAGTCACGGTACTTCGGGCACACACGTTTCGGTACTGCCCTCTTATCCCCCGCTCTCGTCGTGCCCGCTCGCTCGCTAAAATCCAGCCCCCGTGATCCCTCAGAGATACGAGCAGAGACGATCAAGGACCATTTTAAAGCACGTCAACTGTGCTGGCTTTGGGCTAGGAGCGATGACCTCGGGGAACGGCACTGAACCCCAGAACGATTTCGCAACGCCCCAACCTCCCAACAGCGTACTGAAACCGCGACTCCAGTTACCCGAGGCCTAGCTTCAGCCAGCCCCGTGGACTCTCCTCTCTATTTCCCATTCTCTCCCAGATCGACAGCAAGACACGGACGCCTTCTTTTCTAGTTATTCCTGCTCCCAGCATTTCACCACCTCTATTCCATATAATTTCCTCCTTCTTTGCTTGTGTCATCCCAGTCTGCCCACCTTTTCCCTTTATAACGTAGACTCCTAAAATCATTGTTTGGGGCGGTCAGGGGAGCCCTTCTCTTTCTTAAGGAAAAATTTTTGACCATCACCTTACCGAGGGACAAGATGGTGACGTATGACGGCCTGTCTGAGCGCAGGAGAGAATGCTCTCGGGCTTTGTTTAACGAGGTTTCCTTGTCAAACACCCCCTTCACAGGGCCAACAACTGACTCAAAGCCATGCATACGGAACGTGAAAGCTTTGTGAGGCTGGCTGTAACGGTAACGTTCCTGTATTGGGAAATGGAGAGGACCGAATTTAGCAGGAAACACATAATGCAAAGTCTTAAAGCTTGAACTCCGTTTATATTGTTGTTATAAAGGTGTTATCGTTGTTTTTGTTTTAAATTAAAGGCTCAAATACTGCTGTATAAACTTATTTTGGATCAAGACAAGCCCAAACCACTTCAAGCAGAATATAAAGCACCACCTAAGCAAATTCAAACCCATCAGGTTCATGGTTAAGCAGCCGCACAGACTAGAGAGGTGCCAGAGAAACACCTTTGGCCCAGCAAACACGCCTTCCCCCGGCAACAAGAAGCTCTTTTTCTTCCTCCTCTATTCTGGCGAAAGACACGAGTTCCAAAATTTAACCTGGATATTCTCGACATCGTGTGTTTACCCTGTGATACACGCTTGCATCTACTACAGACAAGATAACTAAGTGTACGGGTGCACTTATTGCCACTTGTCTTCTGCTAATACTCACACATGCCCAAAAAATACAGAGAGATGTCATCCTCAAGCGCTGGGGGATGGCAGAGGAGACAGAAAGGTCGGCACTGCCGATTTCAATTAATTTTGCCCAATATGCATTGGAAATACAGGTGGTTTTGAAGTAAGCAGCTAGGCTATGTTGTCAGCAAGTTTCACGCAAGGCCTGTTTCAAGGCACAAGAAACACGCTAATTCTTTACATCAGCGAAGTCTGTGCAGAGTATAAACCCGCCATCCCACGCGAATTCTCTTGTTCTAGTGGCCAACTCTTTCAACCTCTGCGTTTAAAATGAATTCTCACCTGCTCCTGAAACACACGTTTCTCCTCTCCAGTGCTAGGTCGGACTACATAGTCAGTCCTTCTGAAACAAAGGTCACCATCAGTTCTGAGCAAGAGCAGGCCCGCAACAGTCCCAAAGACCATCCCAAAGGACTAGTCACCTCACCCTTTCTACACATCCTTCTGCATTTGATAACACAAAGAAGCTTTCCAGCAGTATCATACACTTACACTCTGGGAACTGGTGTTGTCCCATCTGAGCTGTCTTCATTTTCCTATTGAAAAAGAGAGAAATGTCAGCGTTGGACAGAACTCCGTCGGGTTTTGCGCTGCCAGAAGGTGATTTTTTTTTTTTTTCTGACTCACTTTGAAAAAAGTCTGGTCTTTGGTCTCCAACCAGAGCTGAAACAGGGCTGCCAATTCCTTCTCGTGATCTTGGCAAGACGCTAGTCCAAGGAATCAGGAAAAAATAGGAAACAGAAGTCTTTTATTTGTTATGAAGTTGGTTGCTTGTACTTCCCAGTCATCTCCTGCTCCCTTCCCCCCTCTATGCACCACCAGTCACGAGGCACCTTCCACACCTCGCAGTTCAATACTTGAACACATCCAGGCTTACGAAGGTGCTAAAACCTAGCGATTCTCCTGCGCTGGCACAAAGGATGGTGCCTCGACTCCTGCCACAGCGGGCAAGATGCTGCCTCAGACACGGCCACCTGATACTTGCCGATGGTTCCCACTCTCCAATGTAACCCCAGTCACCGAGTCCATGAGCAGAAACACGTGCCTACATAATCTCCACCAAAAACTGTGAAGGGGACCAGAGGAGTAGCTTCCTGACTCCAAACCTCTGCCCGTTTAAGCCTGAAAATACGATCGCTAGAATCGCTATAGTTAAGAACAGAAAATTCTGCCCAGCAGCTCAAGGAACGAACAGAAACACAAGAAATCTGTCGTTCGCTCAGTACGAGGCCGGGCACATTTATTACTAATTTGCTCTTCGGTTCCCACTGCTAAAAGTGGGAATAGTATCGCTTTGCTCCACAGAGAAGCTTAATTCGCACATAATCGTAACAATTAATAATTACTCTGAACAATCAGAAGGTATGGTCTACAGAAGGGAAAACAGGAAGGTGTTCAGACAGATTTGAAGGGTCACATAAACGTGGCTAGGTCAGCAACATGAAGAAATACAGTGCCTTAGCTCAAGTATTCTGTCTCCTGCTGATATTAATGTCTTATGAAAACCTAGAATGTAAATAAAACACACCTCCGCTCTGCTAAAAGAAAAGGCAAGGCCTAACCAACGAATTAACAGCTCTGCCTCTCCTTCCCTCTGGTCTGCAGCAAGCTGAAAAGCAAGTCCTGCAGAAAACCACGAACCTTTACTACAGGGGAAACCACAGAATAGCACAAGATACTCACCAAGCAATTTCCACTGCTGAGTTTTTTCCTTGAATTCAACAAAAGGTGAGAAGCTGGAAGGGACATCTACAACGAAAACTGTGCATGTCAGAGTCGTCATACGATCGCCCAACCCCCAAAATCCTACTGTTGCAATGCAAGGTGCTGAGTTAAGACTCCTGACAACAGATAAAGCGTTTCAAGTGATTACATAAGTGCATCTCTCAATTTTTACTTGCCCAAAGGGAAGGCAAGTGTCTCAGAGCAACAGTGCAAGCACAAGAACAGGACAGGATAACGAGTCTTTCATCCACAGGCTGGCAGATGAGATCTTGTCCGTGCTGTGAGGCACTAGAAACCGTTACTGTACGGTGACTATTCCTGGGAAGCAAACTCGGGACTTACGAGTATTCACCAGCATTATGGACAACATTAAGTCTCCCTGACGCAAAGGCCACTGTCATCTACAGCCTCTGCCTTTAAAACCTCCCGCTAAGCAAATGAGAACCACAGAGTAATCTAGTTTGAAAGGAATGTCTTAAACTGAGCTGGTTGAAGCCCCAGGTCAAAGCTGGGCCAGCTTCATGTTTCCAGTGGAAGGCTCAGGGCATCATCTCCTTTATTTTTTTTATTCTCCCCAAAGACAACCGTAACGTCTTTGCTCCGGGAAAAGACTAATTTCCTCCCGCTTCAAACACCCCGCCCGAAGCCCGGGATCTGAACAGGAGAGACTGTCTCTCGAGCGGCAATTTCACACACATTTTCACACACTCGGGAATCGAGCTGGGTCTTATCTACTATCCACGTGCAGAACAAGCCTCCCACAATCGAGAAATGCCAGCCATAGAGCCTATCACAGAAACGCTGTCAACAAGACAATGATTTACTGTAGTGAGGAATCAAAAGCTGTTTCGAGCTCTAACATGCACCAGCACTGATCAGAACTGAGGTACCAGCACCATTAGTATTTTTAACAGCCATTCTTACCTCTGCTGTCACCTGTCAAGTACTGCAAGGCGGGTAAAACCAGCTCAGACCAGTTAGGGGCAAAGGAGAACCAGTTATTTAGCGCGCTGGCAGGAGAAGATTGCCAATCTAGAACTTTATCTTCAAGCTGAAGAGAAAAAAACACCCCCACTCTATTAAACATCTTGCGCTTTAAACGGTGAATGTTTTAATAAAGAAAAAAAACAAAATAGCCATACCTATCCAGAGGGAAAAAAGGTTTTATATATAAAAAGAATTACCCGACTTGTTCAAGTAACTGTAGGATGGTATCTCAGACAACAGACACCAAAAAGGGGAAAAAACTTCCCCACCATCTCTGCCCTGAATATACAGAATATATCTAAGCATGAGCTAAGGAATGGATATGCAAAGACTTGCAGATTCAACAGATGAAATTTGTGAAACACGTTAAAAACGGACTGTGGTATGCACTCCCAAAAGGTTTCATTTCTCTATTGTGTAATCCACGACTTAATATAATTTACAGCAGGGCAACTCCGGAGAGAAATCACTATTACATAGCTACAAACCCCGCCTGTCCCCTAACTGTGCTTTCTGCGAAGGTTCCTAGATAAGTGGGTGGCTTCTTACCACAGAAAGAGTAGCAGGTCCTTCCAGAAACAGTATCTCCAGAAGAAGGAAAAAGAAGCTGGAAGAGATTTCATTTATCCCAAGGCATGGCTTCAGGTCTTCAAGAGGTCTTCAAATGAAAGGGAAGACAAGCAGAACAAGTTCGCTGAGTAAATATTCACCAAAGACTAACACCACATGTTTCAGACAACCCAAGCAGCACAGAAGCAAAGCCCACAAAAGCCCCACAAACATCTGAGCTGCAACATCCACTGCTCCCTCCCTCCGCTCAGAGCCCTCGGAAGCACTTACTCCTCTTTGACAGACGACAGAGGGATGGGGGAAGGATCCTGAGACAACGGTGGGATTCCATCTGCATTGCTAAGAGAGTCAGCCAAATCTTCCACCTCAGATTTAACAACCTTCAGCTTTTTTTTCTTCTTATCTTCCTTTTCCTTCACCTTTTTCTTGAGGGTTGCAAGGTCGAACAAGGCTTTAGATATGACAGAAGGTAAGAAGAACAATTAGAAAGCTTCTTCCCGTATTTCAATGACAGTCATAAACTAACTACCTATCTAAACATATCCTTAGACGTAGGGTGCACTCATTCACGCAATATTCATTCCATCTTCCCAGTTATTTCCACAAATCTTCATTTTTCCCTCCAACGTTTTAACAGAAAACCTCTAATTTTTAAATCAACGTACATGAAATCAGAAAGGTAAAGCTCACTGCTTAGAGCAGAGATACAAGTTCACTTTTATCCGTTAGCTGGAAGCACCTTCAGGGGAAACTGGAGCTGTCGGCGAGCGACTACAACGGAAGGACTCACCAGCCCGGAATGGGGAGCCGGCTCTGTGAAGAGCGCAAGGACACAACAACCTATCGAGACCACCTTCCTCCTCAGCTTCTCCCACGCACAGGACGCCCCACGTTCATGCAGGGCACAAGTACCGTGTCCAAGCCACCTACCTGCTAAGGACCCTTTCCTGCCAGCATTTACTCGAGTCATAATGTCCTCAAGAGTCAGGTCTGCGGTCACGAGATCGGGGTGGTCCTACAGAGGACGACGGGAACGCAATTAAAACGGGGAAAGGACGAAGCGTTAAGACAGCAACAAGGGTACGGGAGATAACCCAAGTACGGAAATGCCCCAAACTTATCCGGGATCAGCGTATAAAGTTATTTATACTATATATACAGCATATAAAGTTATTTACTGCAACAGAAGTCGGGAAGTCTTCCAACCCCCAAACCCAAAATTTTGTCTCTCCAAAACACATCATTAAAATTACCAAGTCCTTCGAAACAGAGAAGCATAAAGGAGTTGCATATAGGCGCTGGCCGTTAAATACAGGTTACCATAAAGGGTCGAAGGGTGGTGGCACCCAGAAAAGCAGCCACCGTTTCTGCCACCCAGAAGTACCCTGAGTTTTACGGCTAACCGTTAAAAATGCAGCCCCAACCCCCCCCAGACTTCTCGACATCTTACAGGCTGACGTTTCCGTTTCTCATGGTGCTTCTTCAACATCATCTTCAAATCACTTTCCCCAAGTTCTATCTTGTCTGCAACGAAGAAACAGTCAGAGATTATTTGCACAGTTTTCCATTAGTGCCACTTTACAGACTTCTCAGAACGCCACTTTCTAGCCACTCCTGCTTTCAACAGTCCGCAAATATCGGTAACCAAATTTTCCTTATTTGAGTTTCATTCTTTTAATCGACCCGTTTATTTCAATGCTTTCTGCCTCGGGTCGTCAGATCTCGTTGCTGACGCAAGCACGGAAGTGCAAAGAAGCGCGAACCAGATGCGCCGCACGAAGGGTTGGCAGACGTGATTACAGAAACCTTAGGAGGGTTTCCCGCGGCACATACACCGAAATATTTCAAACTGGACTGTGCCAATGCTTCAACCATCAAAGGCAAAATCTAACAAGAGGCATCAGGAGTATTACACAACCTGTAGATCCTTGTGTTAAAATACTAGCTTTCCAGGGAGAAAAAGGCTAAATAGACTGGGAGAAGAGCCAACTGTCTCAGAAGCTGCAAAAACGAAGCATAACAGGATTTCCCATCGAACAACAAGGTTTTCAGGTTTTCGAACCGATTTCTTGCAGGGTCTTAAAATAATTCTCAGCCCTAAATCTGTATCGAGCCCTGGGTTGGTTCTCACCGGCTGTTTTCATGTCCAAGGTCGACAACGTGGGGATCACTCTCAGGGGAACTGGTGGACTCCGACAACGCGCTGGAGAACTTGGAGGCCAGGAGCTTAGATCTAAAATAAAGAGAAAACCCAATGTATTTCTGCAAGGCCTAGCACCAATTCTACATAACGATCTGATTGATTCATTAGATCACGACCAACAAAACTGGAGTCCAGCTTCCATTCTTCCATCAAAGACACTATTCCCACACCAAAAATCTGTCTTTCTCCATTCACCCCTCAAGTCTTTAGCTCAGTCCAGGGCATTACCTTCTTCATCAGAAGACAAGGTAGTATCTCCACACTCTTCTTTCACCTCCCTCAGAATCTTCAAGTAGCGCCGATGCGTCCGCCTGTCTCGTTCTTCCACGTCGTACGTCGGCGCGAAGTGCTTTCTCCTGAGGGTCATGTCGGGGCCCCCTTTCCTAGCTAAATCCAGCAAGTGCTGGGAGAGGAGAGACGTGTGACTCGAGCTCTCTCGGCTGAGGCGTTGTAAGCTCAACTCACACGCTTTCAGCAAACTTACCACGCGGAGCTGGTGCGCTGAGCACCTCGGTTCTTCACGAGGTGACCCTTACAAAGTATCTGCCACACCGGAAACTTTAAACCCAGCATTTCAGAACAACATTTAAAAGGGGGAACAAAGCCAGGAGAAATTTCTGGCCCTTCTTCTGCACCCACAGTAACACCTCACCGTCACTGTATGTGGACTGTTCAGGTGAACCTAACCAGGGGTCTGAGATCCGCTCGGGCGGTTTCCATGCCAAATACATAACACAGACACGGAATGCCGTCTCTTTTGAAGAAAGCGTTCTACCTCTGACAACTTCCTACAAAATAACTTCCTACACACTTCCTTCCTGTCTCCCATATCGCTGTGGGGCGCTTTATAAAGACAGACCTTCATCTTCATCCACACCCCTGCGTGTTTCAACGCCTAAGCGCAACGAAACGATAAGCGAGAAAGTACTGAGGACGACCGCATTTCAGTTGGCAGCAATTAGCTGCCAACAGCACCCACAGAGGAAGACTTCCATCGGGGGGTTAGGGGCATCAGGGGGTTGTGTCTATTCTATGCCGGTCCAGTGAAGCTGGGGAATTCAAACAGCTACATATTTAGCAACCTTAATTCTTTCAGAATGACAGAAACGGTAGAAAAGGAAGGCAGAACGACTTGTTACCAGGACAGCAAGGTGTGAAGGGGCAAAGGCAGGAAGCAGGAGACGAGGTGGGCGTGGAAAAAAGGCACTAGACACAAGGAAGAGCTACCAGAGTTTCAAAACCCATAAGCTGCAGACACAACCACATTTCTAGTATTCCCACAACGGTCCCTGGGAAACCAGAAAGGCAGCATCCGTCACAGGAAAGCCCTCTGAAAACCGTGAATGCACAAATACCAAGAAGCTGTGTTGGAAAGACAACCTGTTTCTTCCAGACCACCGTGCCCCGAAGACACTCACGTTGCGGGAAGCCAGGATCTGCTTGAGCAGTTGGTAGAAGTACTGTTGCTGAGAGCTCAGGTAGCGTTTGTACTGGGACTTGAAACAGAGCTGCCGGTACTTCACCACTTCAGGGTTGAAGTGTCCATCTGTGAGAAAGAGGTAAAAACCCCATTAATGGCTAA